TGAAAGCTTGTGGGCAGTCATGGAGCCAGGTTAAGAGGACTGAAAAGTTGAGAGTGAAATGGCGACATGCTACTGAATCCCTGTGTTCCACTAGGAACTCAAATGATAAATAGTAATAATAATGAAAGAAAAAAGATCAATGGAGAAACATGTGGCTAATTAGGAATTAAGAAATGAATTGACAGCCTATTCGTACAATAGACAATAAATCAGCCTCATCATAAGGGTTAATTACATAATCTAGTGTAAGGTAGATAAATTTAACTACATGCAAGTTGCAATTCCAAAATGTTTTACGTTTTGCTCTATGAACCAAACCACTCATTATAGTGGTTAATAATATCGTCCAGCTGGAATGGAATTCATATTTTTGGTGAGTTATCTTAATATGAATGTCCAAAACAATAATTACGAGTTCTACTTTAGACAATTATGCTTAAATATATGCCAAAATTTAAAGTTATTTTAAATGAATCGAAAATCAAATGAAAAGGTGGAATGTGTAACGAGAAACTAAATGGGAATTCTACAAGAAAGAACAAAACTTCAAGTGGTATCTAGTTGACAGGTATATAGTACTATACAAAACTCAACTGCCCTAGCTTAACACATTATCGGTAAAGGAAAATGCATAAAAAGAATTAGGGAGATATTAGGAAAAAAACAAGAAGATGTATGAAGTGTATATATATGTACCTCCAAAATAAATAGAAAAATAAAGGCTGAATTCATCTTTGTTGGTGTCATTGGATTTCATACTGTAGTAAACACGGTCTCCAGTAGTAATACTCTGAGTGTCATATCTAAGAAGTCTACGTCAGTCATCACGGACCGACAGCAGTTGGGGAACCATTAAAAACATAGGAGAACTGAACATCTATTTTGTCCTTGTATGAGACTCCTCAGCAGTACGCACCCACGACCCAGCTACATATTGAATTCAGGACATATAGGGTTGACGGCGAACGCCTTAACCATTTAGCTACTGGGTCGAAATTCAGTGGTTCACAGTTTTCAACCTCTATCAGTTCGCTATATAGCGTGACTATCACCCAAGGTCTTGAGATGGCATCCGCTTCCCTTCCGACTGGTTGACCCCACAGGTCACGGCTTTTCATTACACCTCCCTGATATCCATTTGGAAGCATGTCACTAATGAGCACTATACAGCAATGTACTTTTGCGATGAACGGGGATTTTAATTTTGAGGTAGTAGTCATCACAGACTGACATCATTTATATTAGGCTATGAGCTACACTTTTTGTGTGAGAACGCCGTTGCCCAGATCATGGTAGATGGACTATAAAGTATAGGAAGAGGTTAATACACAAAGCTTATGAAGTATAGAGTGGCAATTTGAGAATGTTTGGGATGCAATTCTCACCACCCAAATCCGAATTGTTGCTCTAGAATTGGTCTTCAACGATGCCATGGTTAACAATAGAGTGTATTGACCACTTCACTTACCTGGAAAGTGGGATCAGCCCTTCCCTGGTGGCTCAGTGACCGATGAAATCTCTGCACGAATACAAAAGCTTCGGTTGGCTTTTGCCAACTTACGCCACCTGTGGTGCCGCCGTGATATCCGATTGTCTATTAAGGATGGCGTGTACTGCACGGCAGCCCGCTTTGTTTTACCGCATGGCTGTAAAACATGGCCATTGAAGGTGGAAGAGATGAGAAGGCTTCAGGTGTTTGACCAACGTTGCCCTCATAGTATAGGCCGTATTCCGTGGTGTCACCACGTGAGTAACACAGAAGTCAAGTGTAGAGTTTTAGGAAGAAGTTGCGAACCTTCATTGACTGAGATGGCTGGTTGGGACACATGTTACGTGTGCCTAGTCACTGTCTGCCTAGTCAGCCAATGTTCGTTGAAGTAGGTTCAGGCTGGAAAAAGGCTGAAGGGGGGCAGACTAAAACATGCCATCAGTGTATGAAGTCTTTGACTGTTGGTTTGAGCCATGTGGAGCGATGTAGACTAGCCGGTTGGGGTCCGCGTGACAAGAGGAACCAGTGGTTGGAGACTGACTCTAGATGATAAGCCTCCGAACCGATGTCAGTGGTGCAGATGTATCCCCACACACATTACCCTCATCTTAACGACGCTATACCGAATCTTGCCATTTTCTCTCTTTTCTCACTTTATATTTCTCTTGGCTGAATTTTCTTCTCTTCATCTTCCATTTCACAGCCTTTTTACTGAATGTATTGATATGAGCTGTGGCAACTCGGACCGTTACGCAGTAATGCCTGGCCCTATGTTGATTTGGATGGATGGATGATGGATAGATGAAGCACAAGACAACTAAATAAATCGTTTTTAGTGATTTTCATTTTATTCATGTGGTGATGTCGGGCAACCAACAATGAAGAGAGAAGACAGTGTCTTTAAAAATTACATAGTTAACTATTGTTAAACATATACGTAAATGGAAGTAGGACAACTGATAGTTCATTATGAAAACAAATAATTTACGCATGCCGATAATTGAAAGCATGCATAAAACCTTTCCATAAAGAACTCTCAAAGTATCTGCAGTAAGTTAAAAGGACAATGTCAATTTCTAGTAACGTATAACTAAACTTACTGTCATCTGAATTTATTCGTGCTCTAGTATGCACATGCCTGGATAGAACTCGGAATAGTTTGAGCTGATATGAAATTAGTGAGGGGCAAACCATGGCTAGATGAGAACTAAAGCTGACTACGAATTGAAAGGCACAGTTTCACAGTCATCTGATATTTAGGGTCATAAAATACGAGCGATATTCGACCGCGATAGCTGGAATGTGAATTGAGCATGTCGAGCAATCGCCTACCTCTACACGCCATGCTAGGAGAAGTTGGATTAGGTTGGAACACAATTCAGGGTGGCCAGACCAAGACGTATCACCAGTCGTTGAAGCCTCTGATTGTTTGTATTAGCCGTGTGGGGAGATGTACACTACCTGCCTGGGGTCTCTGAAACAAAATGAACCAGTGGTTGAGGACTCTTGATGAAATGTCTGAAAATCGGCCACAATGCCACAGATGAATCCACTATCTGGTTTCTTCTAAAGCTTGAGTATATGCACTAACCATTATCTTCAGATTCTTTATTCTCTCACACAACTTTGTTTACTTTGATGTCACTTTCCCTATCCATCTGTGAAATGTGGAAACTTAAGCCGATTCAGGTGTGTGCGACGTCCTACGTTGATTTTGTCTGTGAATTGAAAGCAAAAGTGAGACTTTATAACTAACTTTCTAACATTGACGCACTTTAATTCCTAAAATTCAACTAATAATATTAGGATGAGTATTTGTGACTGTCGTTCTCACGCTAGAATAGGGATATTCACTTCTTACCCCCCAAAAAACTGAATTCCGAACAAATACTGCACTATTTTACTGTTAGTGAAAATGATGAAAATTTTCGGAGCTTGTTTACGCTAAATAGTTAGCAAATTCACTTTTCATTAGTGGCCTTAAGGACGGCACAATTTTTTTCTAATCACATTATGCGTCCTTCTGAAGTTGTTGCCAAGTTTCTGGAGAAACATGACAATTATTTATTATTTTCTCCTAAGAGCTGCGCATATTATCTCAGTATTCGAGAACTGTTTTTAATCGTTAGCTTGGGTCAGGCCTAACTGGCATAAAATTTATGCTCACTTAGGATAATATGGAAGCTGCCCGATGTTTACTTTGGGATAACTCCACGAATTCGCAGTATTTCCAGGGAATTTTATCGAAAGTGGATGAAAATTGTGACTAATCTCCTGCCTTTGCTATGATAATAAATCCCCTGTGCAAATTTCTGTAAATAACTTCTATTTCTAACATTGTAAACGTTAAAAAAATGGAAACTTGATGGAAATGTTGGACTACTTTGCGTGCCGTGCAAACAGTTAGGGCACTTTTCAAAGTTTCAAGGTAACTTAATTTTGTAATGCAGGATAAAGACAGTGCAACCGTAAAATGGCAACCTGCAATTGATCTCATTAGAATGAGGATACTCACAGCACTTAATGAACATGCTAACTTTGTCTCATCGACAATATTACTTCCAGTTTTTCTCTTCAGTCACACAATGTGTCTGTTAGGTTGCTGTGGAAAGTAGTGTTTGAAATTTCAGGTTAGCAGAAAATTCTGAAAAAGACCTCAGGAAGAGCAGAAAATGTGTTGGTTTCTTCACGCTTACTTCTGGGACTTGTGGAACGGTTTCAGGTCTTTAAAGGATTTAAACGCAGTAGACGCATCCACTCACCTACTGTAGCATTGGTAAACCCAAAGGGCAGTTCGGTGTCGGTTAGATTTGTAGAGAGATATGACTTGTCTTGGTACTGTGGTGCCGGGGAATTCTTCAAATGTCGTGTCATCGTATAGTTGTTAGGACTGGTTATAGGAGGGAGATAAGGGGAGTGAAAAGATAGCTAGAAAGAATAAAGGAGAGGAAATTAGAAAATGAAGGAAAAATCAAAGGAAAAAGCTAAGTAAATCCGAGGAAGATGGGTAACAAAACAGTGATATGGAGAACCTTAATAAATACGGTGAAACCGTATATTCAGAAGGAGAGAAAGAAGCAGTGAAGATCGTAGCGGGAACAATGAAAAGGGTTGATGATAAAAGTGGTGGTAGCATAACGAGTCCAGCTTATGATAGTAGCGACAATACAAGAGAATCGGCACAGAGGTAACTGTCAAAGTCAATATTTTTGCGGGGAAACGCGGGTCATTTTCAAAACAAGGGGGGAATTGAGAGAAACCTGAAGTCATTTTCAGAACAGAGGCCAATCGAAAAACTTAGAACCCACAAAACATGAGACTGAACTCGGACCAGTGTTGCAAGACCCTGAGTTCTTCCCAGAGTATTCAATCCAATTTTCCCCCATGCCTTATCGCTTTGCTGCACAAAAATGATGACTGAGTGTCTTTGATGGGTGAGTCAGCAAAAAGACAAGTGCAAATGTTTCCGCTATATCAGGAATGCCTGAAAACATGTATATTACTTACGTACCATATGCAATAGGCTCTGCAGCACTCTTATATTTGCTGAAGATTGCCGTCGATGTACATTTACATATCGCAAAGGCACTACCAGAAACTATTAAGTATTGGTGATCTTCACCATCCAAATGAGGTATTAAATCGTATTCTGAGCTGTCCTTGAATAAAGATATTAAATGCACAGCTAACCATTTCTCAACAGCCTTCTGCAAAGAGTGTATAAAATGCGTTAAGTTGAAGGTCAAGCAACGTTCCATCTGAAAAACATTCAAGGACATATCCAATATCCAATATCTTTTGACGAGCTATTGTAAGCCAACTGGCTTCTTCGCGCTTGCATGAAGGTCTTGCGGAACGGTTCCAGGTCTTTGGTGGATTCCGATGCAGTAGCTTTACCTACCCTACTGCTGTAGCTCTGGTTAGCCCGACGGGCGGTTGGGTTTTGGTTAAATTTGTAAGGAGTGTTGTTAGCTTGTTTTTTCTTCCGAGGACTGTGGTGCTAATGGGTTACTCAAGTGTCGTGCCAGTAGACAACTGTTTGGACCGGTCGAAAAAAATCGATGGAAAATATTTCCAGAGAAACCAGTGGAGAGAAAGTGCAAAGAAAAATAAACAACAGAAAAAACGATTGGGAAAAAGGAAACGGTAAGGAAGAAGAAACACAGAGAGATTCATGGGAGAGCTCCTATCAAAATGTGAGCACGTTAATTCAGTTTGAGTGGATGGAGAAAAAAGTTATACGATGGCGTATGGGAATACAGATGGTAATTCTATTAGTAGGTGGTAACTAAAGGGGACGTATATAGGGAAGCATGGGGCTGAGACACGTTCACGGTGATGGTGTTGTTGCAAAGTATTAGGTAATGCATTGGCCGTATTGAGTTAGTAATCTTGTCAGCGTAATCCATATCCTGGCTGGATGAGCGCAAGTCGGGCGTCGCCTCGCAGTTGTCCCAAACCTCCTTGAACCTGTTGATAGACGGAATGGATGCAATCTTCGTGGCCACAAACTCGCAGAGAGAAGAAGTGTAAACACACACGAGTTTGCGCCCTCGCGCGGGTGATTTTTCCCGGGTTGCCGACAGGATTGCCACTCTGACCGTTCGGACGCTGGGTTACTGAGTATTTTGCAAGCCATCATCAAACCGCCACGCAACCTACAGTGGCTAAGAGGGTAAAACCCTGGGCCTTTCACTCTGTCTCTGTAGGCTTGTTGCCTCATTCTCAAGGCACCCGTTGTTTCTGGCCTTTGAAAGTTTTCCTGGAGATTCACGTATCTTTTCAAATATGGTGGCGTAGCGATGTTGTGGATCTCTGAGTGAGGTTGTATGTAGGCCTTGCGCAGCTTCGGGAAGAGTTCCACGATCAGGCCACTCAGTTGTCTGTGCATTTAGTGCAGTACTACGTAGGCTCTGGAGGCGTCTCTGGATAACTGGAGCTAGTATCTAGTTTGTCGGTCAGTAATAGCCCCTAGGTCCTCCTCCGTGGTGGTGTGGGAAAGTCGTGTTCCACAGAGAGAATAAGGGGCCTTCTGAGAGTCAGAGGTGAGGAGAAACATGGCTGGGCGCTCATCTAGGTTAGATGCAAGTTCATTAATATCCACCTGCTCTGCAAGTAATCTGAGGTCACTTTGCAGAGCACTTTCTGACGTCACAGCTCCCCATAACCCAACGTCATAAGCGTAGAGTAGAAGTGGGGAGCTGAGATTCAGTGGAAGGTCGTTCACAGAAAGGCGGAATAGCGGTGGGCCGGAATCGCTCCTTTCGATACACCAGATGATGATATCGTCCAAGTCGAATGAATTCTTTCAAATTTCGTTCAGAACTCCCTGCCGTCTATTAGTCGTGCAGCCAGGAAAACGCTTGACGGTTTATACCCAATGTCGTGGAGTATGAAACTGCCTCAGTGTCCTGGTAAAATCCAGAGGCTGGACTTCGAGATCCTTGCCCGCCATCCGGTCGTCATCACCAGCCAGAAGGTTAGGGGCACAGGACCTCTCTTTTCGGAAACCGTATTGAGCACCGCCGAATGCTTACTTCTTGCCTAAGGAATCCCTGATATGGTCATCTACCAGACTCTCCAGTACTTTCAACAGCATTGGCTGAAGCGCTGTAGGTCGTCAGGATTTAGGGTTCTGCATGTCTCCGCCTTTTAAGATGGAAGATAGAATATCGCGTTTCGTCTCCCTGGAAGCATGTGTTTGTCTAAGGAGTGTTGAAACATTACGGAGCGGACCTCATGAGTCATTCACGCATTTTATCAACACGGGTGGCCGAATGTCGTCTCATCCTGGTGATTTTTCTGTGCAGGTCCTCGAGAGTTTTTCCAACAAAGGTTACCTCTTTTCGGGAAACCCTTCTACATTATGTGGTGATAGAGGTTGCCTGGGCGGTTGGTAATTTTGGCCGGCGGATGAAAAGTTCAGGAGTATCGAAGGCAGAGTTGGACGTCTCACCAACCTTCGGTTCTGGGAGTTTCTCTCCACTTGGACCTTTCATAACGCAGGCCCCCCCGGCTAGCAGATCTTCTATCCGCAATGGGCCGACATAGGTTTCTGGGATTCGCCTCAAGCTCCTGTGCAAGGTTTGTTTGGAAAGACCTGTTGCCTTTTACTTTGATGTTACAACTATTCCTTACGACCTTATATGCGCCACGACCTGGTTCTTTTCCGGGCATCCTCCAGTTACGTCATGCTTCCGTCTTGGTTTCCAAGACGGGTTTGTTGCTTTGTTTCAGCCATGAGGTTCACTCCTTTGGTACTGTCGTGACCACTCGGAGGTTTCCAGAGATGGCCCTCTCAGTGATTTCTTGCAATAATTTCCGGTTTCGATCAATCGACGAGGCACTCAACTTCCACGTTTGTCATCATTTTCAGAGATGAATTTGGCCCACCTTGCACCTCCACTGCCCGAAAATTTCTGCTTTAATGGTCTTAACTCACAAATATTCAGTGGAAGTGTTCACTCTTAATGTGCCTCCATAATACTCAGCTGGTCCTTCGTAACCATTGGAAAGTCCACATGAAAGTTGTCAACGGAGGTGGAAGTGTTCACTCTTCAAATGTGCCTCCATAATACTCAGCTGGTCCTTCGTAACCATTGAAAGTTCACATGAAAGTTGTCAACGGAGGTGGAAGTGTTCACTCTTCAAATGTGCCTCCAATACTCAGCTGTCCTTCGTAACCATTGGAAAGTCCCATGAAAGTTGTCAACGGAGGTGGAAGTGTTCACTCTTCAAATGTGCCATAATACTCACTGGTCCTTCGTAACCATGGAAAGTCCACTGAAGTTGTCACGGGGTGGAAGTGTTCACTCTTCAAATGTGCCTCCATAATACTCAGCTGGTCCTTCGTAACCATTGAAAGTTCACATGAAGTTGTCACGGAGGTGGAAGTGTTCACTCTTCAAATGTGCCTCCATAATACTCAGCTGGTCTTCGTACCATTGGAAAGTCCACATGAAAGTTGTCAACGGAGGTGGAAGTGTTCACTCTTCAAATGTGCCTCCATAATACTCAGCTGGTCCTTCGTAACCATTGGAAAGTTCACATGAAAGTTGTTAACGGAGGTGACATTTGGCGACTTCCCGCTCCTTGCCTCAAGTTTAAGAATTGGTAGAATTTTTGTCGTCATGTTCACATTTTCTTTAACCGCATCTACCAAGTATTAAAGGCGTGAGGTAAGCCCTGCATAGGTTTTGGCAGGAAGACGTTCAGCTCCCTGATACCAGACTTTATTGACGACAACCTAACAGCAATCGATGTAGACTGTTATACAAGCAAACAGTGTTCGCATTAGCTATAAGTACCAAAACAAGAGAAGAAGCACCGAGCTCAGTTCTAATGGGCGTGCTGTCCAACGTGAATCAACAGCTGATAACTAAACTTCGGGTTGGTAGCAGCAGTGGCTCCAGGTAAGTGGTCGTTGCTTGCTTCGTTTAACTGTGTGCTGCCTGTACTTCAACCACGTCGGCGTCCACTAAAGAAGGCCTCTTAGACTCTTTGGATGCTTGTTAGCGCTTGATGGTTGCTAGTTTTCTTCTGCAACAAACACAGTGTATTGTTTGCACTTTTATATCTGTCCGCTGGCACTAAGAAGTAGCTTCAAAAGCTTTCTAGCTTTTCCCGCTGATAATACGTTTAAGATTGCAGTAATTTCTGATAACAGAGACAATGAAGTATCAAACCTCAAAGATGTTTCTTCTTCTCCACCTTGATAATATCGACGTATCTCGTAAATCCATAGGTGTCACGATGGATAAAGCCTACCCTACCTAGTTTTAGAAGCTTGTTCCTCTAGGAAACCCAAGCAGGTAGAATCATCAACTGATCTCAGTAGTTAGGGTCACGAAAGCAGTTAACCACTCGTGTCAAGTCATGCAATAAACCAGTCTTTATCAGCTGACTTATGTATTTCACCTTACATCAGCGAACAGTCGATGCACATAATAGCCTAACTTTGAAAGCAAAGGTAGTGTTGGAGTTAGCGCTCAGAAAGGAGATTAACATAAATGTGGGCCAAGTTTTATCCTGTTAACTCCTAGTTTGCACAAAATTCTTGCCCTTTTCTTGGCTTTTTTGGGTCGGAAGAAGATTCGAGAAATACCCCCAAATTGTGGGGACAGTAGTGGTTGATAAACTAATGACACAATAGCATTTTTGCAAGATATTTTCCATTCATCATCACTTCATTTGTTCGGTGCAGCATTCTTCGGGCACAAATACCCTTACTTGCTATATCTTACAACTACCCTTTTCTATCTCGTTCAGTTCGTACGGAACTACACTGAAACGGTACTCTGATAATCATCCTCTCTAAGGGGCGGCTAGCGTAACGAACAGTAAGCTTAACAATAATAATATTTATCCCTGAATATGCAGGCACACACCATTTTTACAGGTATAAGTAAGTTTATACACAAACTACATTCATCTTCATGGAAGGTAATCTGAATCCCTACCCGTTGTCACTAGAAGGTATAGGTGCCGCGCGTTCATATAATGGAACGTCCCAGCAGAATAAGTGTGCAGAAAATTTACAAGTTGGACAAGTGGAAGTATTTTCTTCGCATTAACAAAAAAACCGGGTTTTTGTCGAGAGAATACAGGTGTTACCTGGAGAAAAATAAAGCTCGAAGCTAATGCTTCTATTGTAACAGTTTGTACTTTTTGCTTGAGATAATGATGAAAAGTTTATGAATCGTTTGCATAATGTACTTCACTGACTATTCCAGGACTGTATGATTTTATCCATGTTAAT